GTCTGAAGAATACTTTATAGACCCTACTATGATACAAACTTCAACCCTTCCCTTGTCCCTTCACAATCAACCCTCTGATAAGATAGCTAACATTGTAGATCTCCCACATTTTGAGATCCCAGGAGTGGGTGTCCTAAGAGGACTGATAAGAAGCAGGTGGAGAAGCTAGAGAATTCACTCCAGCGCCTATCCCAACATCCACTGCAAAGCTGGAGATTACCATCTAGGACCTTCGGGTCAGGATCAGGAACTCAAAGAGGCCTTAACTGGTCTGTCTTGAGCAGACAACAGAATGTCTGGGAGAATCACTCCTGGAGACAGCAACTACCCAGAAAATATCTCTCCACGATGCTAGTGTTAGGGAATGTCTTGGGGACCACTATGGAAAGGAAACTTTGTTCTCAAACATCTTTAACGGAAAGAGCCACTGCAGATATCTGTCAATCTATTCAGAATTTATTTGGGGTTCCTGCGGAACTGATGGAACGTTCCAAGAGTCTGCTAGAGAAGAGTCGAAGTATTATTTCTGAGACTTCAGTGTCCAAAAACTACATTCAGAGACACATTCATATCATGGTCACGAACAAAGAGGAGCCTTAAGGATGTGGACACATAGCTCCATGTCCTCCATAATACAGCAACACTCTGGGGCTAGCGCGAAAATAAAGAAAAGTTCGAAGCTTAGTGATATATCCCAGGAAGTCATTCAGCACATGCCTGTTTCATGTACAGAGGGCCAGCCTCCTGTCCCAGTAAATTTAGAGTCTTCCTTCAATATATTTTTCACTAGGAAAGATTCTGTTCCAATGGAAGAGAGTGAGAACTCACAGAGTTCACAGAAAAGGATTTTTGAGTCCCAACATTGTCTCAAGCCAAGTTATCTTCCCCAGGCCAAGACTGACTTGTCAGAACAGTTCCAGTTGCTACAAGATCTGTGGCTAAAAATGGCAGCAAAACTGTTAAGGAGTCAAATACCCCCCAATGCACCTCCACCTCTAACTTCAGGTCTGGTTTTAAAATACCCTATCTGCCTACAGTGTGGCCTATGTGTAGGATTTAATTGCTGTCATAAATTACAGGGCACTTTGGTGCCTTACCTTCTTATCTACCCATAGCTCCACCTTGTAAGCACTCCCGAAGGACACGGAGAGATTAAGTTGTGTCTTGGCTTTAGGTTGCAAACTGGGAAAAGATCCCAAGTCCCAAAGTATCACAGAAGAGACAGATCCATCACACCAAGAAGTTCTATGTTACCATCACTAAGGAAAGCTAAAGTCTATACTCGAGCTTCCAAGAGTCCTACTTCTACAGTGGATTTCCAGTCTGTATCTTCCCAGTCTCCTGCTCCTGTACAAGTCCACATCAGGCAAAGACAGTATAGGAGCCCTGCCCTAGCAGGAAAGATGACAATTGGAGGGCCAGGGCACTATTAGTTTACTCAAGTTCACTCTCTACCAGAGAGTGACTCTGAAAGCAATCAGGATGAAAAATGGGCTAAAAGGTGAACAAAAAAGACCTGTAGTTCAAAATACCCAAAGAAAAGAATCACTATGGGAGGCAGAACACAAAACACAAAGTTCTACACAAATGGTAGAACCACAATACGGAGTTCTTCTTGGGATTTACCAGCCCAGTTAAGAAGGAAGAGGAATGGAGCATCTCAGACAACCACTGCCTCTTCAAAAAGACAATCTAAGAAATCCTCCCAACCCAAATTCATTCAACGGCTTTTTCAAGGTCTAAAGCAAGCATTTCAGACAGCACGCAGAATTATGGCTTTTGCTGGACAGAAGCCTGAGGACAGGTCAAGGCCAGACTGTTTGCTTTCAAGCAAAAACCACCATCCAAAACAAAAAGCCAGAGATTATTCCTCATCAAGAGATATCAAAAGAGATAGGATGTCAGTTGTTAAGCTAAAGCCAATAGACATAACCACTAAGCAGGAGAAGATGTTATGGGAAGAAATACAGCAATTCAGATCGGCTCAACAACCAAAAAGAGTAGCTCTTTCCAACGTAGACATACCCAACGAGCCAAGCCCATAGTTTCCCAAAGAAGTGCTATTTTCAAAACCACTTCAGTCAGACAGGCTGTGGTTATTGTTCAAAACGACAATAGCAGCAAAGGTAAGAAAACTCCTACAGATGTGAAATCTCTAGCCAGGAGTCCAAGAGCTCCAAAATAGGAACCAGAGTTCAAGCCAGAGGGAGAAATCTACATGGTTTACTTAAGAGAACCTCACACAGTCACCTTAAAAAGAAACTCACAACCAAGAAGCAAAACCACCATAGCTTCTTAAGGGAGAGAACCCCATGTAATTCCTCTGAAAGGAGCCATACCAGTCCCTCTGAGGGGAGCCTTTGAAGTCCTTCTCTAAAGAGCCATCACAGTCCCTCTGAGAGGAGCCATCGGAGTTGTTCCCTAAATAGCCATCACAGTCCCTCTGAGAGGAGCCTTCGAAGTCCTTCTCTAAAGAGCCATCACGGTCCCTCTGAGAGGAGCCACCGAAGCCTTCTTCAGAAGAGACATCACAGTCCCTCTGAGAGGAGCCTTCCAAGTCGTTCTCTAAAGAGCCATCACGGTCCCTCTGAGAGGAGCCACCGAAGTCTTTCTCAGAAGAGACAACACAGTCCCTCTGAGAGGAGCCACCGAAGTCCTTCCCTAAAGAGCCATCACAGTCCCTCTGAGAGGAGCCTTCGAAGTCCTTCTCTAAAGAGCCATCACGGTCCCCCTGAGAGGAGCCACTGAAGTCTTCCTCGGAAGAGACATCACAGTCCCTCTAAGAGGAGCCACTGAAGCCATCTTCAGAAGAGACAAAACAGTCCCTCTGAGAGGAGCCATCGAAGTCCTCCTCAGAGGAGCCATCACAGTCACTCTGAAAGGAGCCATCAGAGTCCCTGTGAGAGGAGCCATCGAAGTCTTCCTCGGAAGAGACATCACAATCCCTCTAAGGGGAGCCACCGAAGCCGCCTTCAGAAGAGACATCACAATCCCTCTGAGAGGAGCCACCGAAGTCTTTCTCAGAAGAGCCATCACAGTCCCTCTGAGAGGAGCCATCGAAGTCTTCCTTGGAACAGACATCACAGTCCCTCTAAGAGGAGCCACCGAAGACTTCTTCAGAAGAGCCATCACAGTCCCTCTGAGAGGAGCCACTGAAGTCTTCCTCAGAAGAGCCATCACAGTCTCTCTGAGAGTGCCCATCAGTCCTTCTCTAAGGAGCCATCACAGTCCCTCTGAGAAGACCCATCGAAGTCTTCCTCAGAAGAGCCATCACAGTCCCTCTGAGAGGACCCATCGAAGTCTTGTTCAGAAGAGACAACACAGTCCTTCTGAGAGGAGCCACCGAAGTCTTTCTCAGAAGAGCCATCACAGTCCCTCTGAGAGGAGCCATCGAAGTCTTCCTCGGAAGAGACATCACAGTCCCTCTAAGGGGAGCCACCGAAGACTTCTTCAGAAGAGCCATCACAGTCTCTCTGAGAGGAGCCACCAAAGTCTTTCTCAGAAGAGCCATCACAGTCCCTCTGAGAGGACCCATCGAAGTCTTCTTCAGAAGAGACATCACAGTCCCTCTCAGAGGAGCCACCGAAGTCTTTCTCAGAAGAGGCGTCACAGTCCCTCTGAGAGGGGCCATTGAAGTCTTCTTTGGAAGAGACATCACAGTCCCTTAAGGGGAGCCACCAAAGCCACCTTCAGAAGAGACATCACAGTCCCTCTAAGAGGAGCCACCGAAGCCTTCCTCAGAAGAGACATCACAGTCCCTCTCAGAGGAGCCACTGAAGTCTTCCTCAGAAGAGCCACCACAGTCCCTCTGAGAGGAGCCATCGAAGTCCTTCTCAGAGGAGCCATCACAGTCCCTCTGAAAGGAGCCATCAGAGTCCCTGTGAGAGGAGATGTCGCAGTCCCTCTGAGAGGAGATGTCGCAGTTCCCTTGAGAGGAGCAGTCGCAGTCTCTTTCAGAAAACCCATCACAGTCCCTTAGAGGTGAGAGGACACAGCCCTTTTGAGAGAAGACAGTACAGGCCCTCTGAGAGGAGCGGTCTTAGTTCCTCAGAGAGAACTAACTGTAGTCCTTCTGAAAGAAATGGACACAGTTGCTCTGCGAGGAACAGACACGGTCATTCTGAGCAGAGCCAACAGAACCACTTTGAAAGGAGCCAGTACAGTTGGTGTGCGAAAACCCATCTCAGTCCCTCTGCGAGAACCCATCACAGTCCTGCTAAGGAGAGACTCAAACACAGCTACCCTAGGGAGAGGCTCAGACATGGTCTGTCTGAAGATTGCAAGGGCTCCTCAAACACGTCTCCTAGGGACCACACACAAAATCTCCAAAACAGGCCAAGTTTAGAGGCCTGAAGCCAACAGATGAGAAGAGATTCGTCCCCATTATTCACTGACTGGCTCAAGCCTTCACCGACCTGCCCCTTTTCTGACTTCTTTCCTGCTCAGCCACTGCCTCGGATACCTGCACCCTCAGCAATCAAAGAGCCTCTAAGCCTCTCTACCTGGGAGGGAGGAAGGGCGGGAATGGGTCTGTAATTTCTCTAAGATAAATAAAGGGGCGATAATTGATCTCCACCTAGAAAGACCACTCGTGCTGGATGGGGGAACGGAGGGTGAAGGGACATTTGGTATCGCGCAAACGGATGGACCCCGAATAAGGGGCCCTGAAGCCAGGTTTGGGGCTCCAAACCCCACCTACAGCTTCCCTGGGCGGGGTCTCGGAGGGAGGGAGTTGTGTCACGTGACTCACTCTGGCCCTAGCCCCCTCCGAAGCTGCCAGGCGGAAGTAGACGTTCAGACCTGGGATCCGCGGCGCCGACTCCACATCCGGGAGAGGAGAGGAGAGCGGAAGTGGCGTTGGTCTGGCCGGAGCCCTTGGGTGGATTTGTTAGGCGTGGAGAGGGAGTGATGTCTTCCAGACTCGGTGCAGTACCCGCTGTGAGTTTCTTGGTTTGGCCGTTATGCCTTAGGGGTAGCGCTGTGGAGCCCGCAACACGCGGTCCCTCGCTTTTGTCCCGTGCTCAGAGTTGGTTTTATCAGAGCCCATAGTAGGCCCCACCCTTCTAGGTCAGATCTCTCTCCCTTTTTTCCCCCCACTTACCGCTGACTGTTGCCCCACCTCCTTGGACTCAGTTTCTCGCCCGATTGCCATTAATTTCTGTTCCTTTTATATCCCCAGTACCTCCCATATCCGTATCCTCTCTTTTCGCCTCCCTTTAGAACCTTTATCTGGGACAGGGCTTTGGGAATGGTGAAGACTACGGTGTTGTCAGCTGCCTTAACTCTGTAGGAAGACAGGACGACACACTTTTCTTAAAAAGTCTTGCCTTTTTTCCGTTGGAGGTAGTTGCGGGGGGAGAGCTACATTTCTCTGGGCACAGGGGGATTCGTCTTTTGGTGGTCAGGATTCAGAGGTCCCTAGCATTCACTCATGTGCTTGCGATTTGCTAGACACCGGAACCCACATCCTTTAAGCAGCAGAGGAGCACGAAGATCGTGGGAGCTAAGAAGTAAGTGAGGTTTTCTGGGATCCATTTATAATTGTGTCGCCAGCGCTGGCCAGTAGAACTTCCTGTGATGATGAGAAAATGTTCTGTATCCACACTGTTGAGCACCGTAGCCACGTATGGCTTTTGAGCACTTGAAATGTGGCCAGTGTGATTGAGGAACTGAATTTTCAATTGTATTTAATCTTAACTTAAATTTTAATAGCCACCTGTAGCTAGTGCCTACCTGATTGGACAGTGCAGGTCTAAACCTAATGTAGGGGAGAAGAACCTAGCTTGCAAAGTATGAATTATATTAAAAATGGAACGTATTGGCAGTGTAGCCCCGCATGTCCTCAGACATCAAGTATATACTCATGAATACATTGATGAACATGGAAAGGACTGGTAAAAATGGCTGTAAGAAATCCTTTTATTTTCAGACTATTTGGCTTTAAGGCGGGTTTATTATTTCGTAGAATGAATGTGCTAACTTTTTCCGTATTTTATTTGTTGGTACAAAAGAGATTCTTATTAACTAGGTATTCATTGAAAGGAATTCCTTCCTTCAGATAACATTTGCTGAATATCTCATGTGCTATAACACATATATCTGTTAGATATACAGACAAGAAAAGCACAGAATAGTCTAAAAGGGGAGATAGGCAAGTACATCAACATGATAAGGTGTAAGTAAATATTTTTAAACAGGAATTTAATATAGCACTTGGGGAAAGGGGAGTGATAGTTCAGAAGGGAAGAGTTGCCTGAGCAAGTCGCTCCTAAACAGACTTGAAAGTCAAGGAATAATCCAGTTAGCCAGAAGGAAAAGGTTTGTTTTTTTGTTTTTGTTTTTTTTTTTTTTTTTTCATAGAGAGTAGAATGTGAACAGATAAAAGCTTTTAATGGAATAGCAAGTGTTAATTTTTTAAAAATAGAAAGTTAACAGGACCTTGTCTATTATTCTGACTCAGAATCACTGGAGTTTGGGCATAGGAATCCTTTGTAAGAGATTGAGAACCATTGGTGAGAAGTGAGACTAAAAGAGGCTAGAGGATGCAACCCTGGAGAACATCAGCATTTAAAGACTGGACAGAATGAATGGAGGCTGCAAAGGAAACTGAGATGAACTGAAATAATTTTCTAATGAAGTCTAAGTAGTTGCACCTGGAGAATGAACTAGGGTCTCTGAAAAATTCTTCGTAGATCAGAAAGGAGTTGAAAATTGGTTAAACTTTTCACTCTTGTGGTTAGAAGCTGAGACCCAAAGGTGTGCTGCACACAAGAAATTATGAAGTCACTACAATTATGATTATATTCTTTAAACCAAAGTCTTCCTCTTGCCATAATTATGGAGAGGGAAGTTTGAAATTAATCTGGGTTTTTAGAAGCAATCAAGTACTGTCATATGACAAGTGTTGTAAAATACTAGATAAATTGTTTTTGTTGAGTCCTTTGGAAATAAGAGAGACCTATAGGGAAGGATTCCCTAATCACATTGATTTAATTTCTAAGATGTTAATCATACTGATTATATGAACTATTGATATTTATTTATTTACTTATTACTGTGCTTGTACTTATTCATGAGAGGGGATATGGGTGTATCTGAGTCCTACACTGACAGTAAAGAAATTTCTGTCTTTACTGACAGTAAAGAAATTCCTATGAGGACGGTTTATCAAGAGGAGTCACATGGGACTTGACTCTTAATGGCTTCTTGATACTATTAAGTGTTCCTAGTAGAGATTGTTGCCATTGTTTTGGATGGTGGGTTTTGTCCCTAGAGACCTGCCAATTCCTATTAAAAATTTTTAAATATATTTTTGAGGTATTATTGAAGTACAGTAGACTTCATATTTATAGTATACATATTTAAAGTGTACAGTATGATCAGCTTCGGTATATGTAAATAACCAAAACAGTGTCACCACAATCAAGATACCATTTCCATCCCTCTGAAAAAATTTTTTGGGTTCCTTTGCAATCCATTCCCTCCTCTACTCCTGTTCCCAGACACCACTGACCTTTTTCCTTTCACCATATAGTGGTTTGCATGTTCTAGGATTTTATATAAATGAAATCATATAATATGTTCTCTTTTTGCATGATTTTTTTCACTCAAAATAATGATTTTGAGTGAAAATTAGTTTTTATTGCTGAACAGAATTTGATTATAGATATATCATGATTAGTTTAGCCATCTATTTTGATGGATAGTTGGGTCATTTTCATTTTGAGGTTATTAAAATAAAGCTGCTGTGAACTTCCACGTACAAGTCTCTATGTGGAAAAATGTTTCTTTTTTCTCTTGATAAATACCTAAGATGGTATTTATTTACTAAGATTTACCATCTTAGGTTGATTGGGTCTTATGTCAGGAGTATGTTTACCTTTTTAACAAATTGCCTATTTTCCAAATTGGTGGCATTATTTTCTATTCTACCACCAGTGTATGGGAATAAGTCTTCAATTTTAGCCAATTTTATGGGTGTATAGGGGTGTTTCATTGTGATTTTAATTTGCATTTTCCTAATGAATAATGATGTAGAACATCTGTTCATGTGCTTATTGGCCATTCATACATCATCATCTGGGAAGTGCCTGTTCATATCTTTTGCCCAAGTAAAAAAATTGAGTTGTTTGTCTTACTATGGAATTGTAGTATTTTTTTTTTTTTAAGATTTTATTTATTTATTTGACAGAGAGAGATCACAAGTAGGCAGAGAGGCAGGCAGATAGAGAGAAAGGAGGAAGCAGGCTCTCCGCAGAGCAGAGAGCCCGATGCGGGGCTCGATCCCAGGACCCTGGGATCATGAACTGAGCCGAAGGCAGAGGCTTTAACCCACTGAGCCACCCAGGCGCCCCATGGAATTGTAGTATTTTTAAAAATCATATTCTGAATACAATTCCTTTGTCTGATAGATACGTCTTAAATATTTTCTTCCAATCTCTGATTTGCATCATATCTTGATGGCATGTTTGAAGACCAACAGTTTTATTTATTTTTATTTCTTTAAAGATTTACTTATTTAGTTTAGAGAGGGGGGAAGGCAGGGGGAGTGAGAGAATCTTGAGGCAGACTCCCTGCTGAGTGTGGAGCTGGACTTGGGCTTTATCCCATGACTCTGATATCATGACCTGAGCTGAAGCCACTCAACTGACTGAGCCACTTGGGTGCCTTGAAGATCAACAGTTTTAAATTTATCATTAAAAATGATTAAAGGGGCGTCTGGGTGGCTCAGTGGGTTAAAGCCTCTGCTTTCGTCTCAGGTCATGATCCCAGGGTCCTGGGATCCTGGGATCGAGCCCTGTGGGCTCTCTGCTCAGCAGGGAGCCTGCTTTCCTTCCTCTCTCTGCCTGCCTCTCTGCCTACTTGTGATCTCTGTCAAATAAATAAAAAAAAAATTTAAAAAAATGATTAAAATATTATTTTTTTTCCTTCTATGTTTCATGCTTTTTGTATTGCATTTGAGAAAACTTTGTCATCCCTAATTGCAAAGATTTTCCCCTTTGTTTTTTTCTGAAAGTTTTCTAGGTTTTACATTTGGGTCTATGACTTGTTTAGAGTTAATTTTTTGGTCATGGTGTGTTATAACAGTCAGTGTTAATTTCTTCTCATTTTGTATATCCTGTTGTTAAGACTTCCCCTATTCAATTGCATTGGCACTTTTGTCAGAAATTATTTGAACATATATGTGTGTGAGTCTGTTTCTGGACTCCTTATTCTGTTCCATTGATGTATATATCTGTCTTTTTGCCAATACTAAACTGTCTTGATACTGTGGGGTTAGAGTAAGTCTTGAAATCAGATAGGGTAAGTCATTTAACTCTTTTTTGTTCTTTCTCAAAATTTGTTTAGTTAGGGGCGCCTGGGTGGCTCAGTGGGTTCAAGACCCTGCCTTCGGTTCAGGTCATGATCCCAGGGTCCTGGGATCAAGCCCCCGCATCGGGCTTTCTGCTCAGCGGGGAGCCTGCTTCCCCCTCTCTCTCTGCCTGCCTCTCTGCATACTTGGGATCTCTGTCTGTCAAATAAATAAATAAAATCTTTAAAAAAATTTGTTTAGTTATTCTAGGTTCTTCGTCTTTTTATGTAAATTTTAGAATTTGTCAGTTTCTATAAAAAACATGCTGGAGTATTGATCACTATTGTATGGAGTCAGCAGATCAAT